TCTACTCCAACTGGATGCTGATGCCCTGGAGCTGCTGGTTGATTTCTGAGTGTGGACACATTGGCAGCAACCCGAGCTCTAGCTTATTTATGATTTCAACCAAAGCTGTGCTAATTCCTGTACCTTTAAGGCCCCTGGTGTCCAACAGGCATGAACCTAATCAATTATGCACAACAAAGCCCTCCAGGCAATGGTGTTACATACGTAACGGGGGGCAGCAGGCATATTCCTTTCCTAGTGCTGCCACAGCAAATCACATCAACTGCGTAACTTAAAGCAACAGACATTTATTCTCCCACAATTGTGGGTGCCAGGAGTCCAGCTTCAGGGTGTCAGCAGGGTTGGTTCCTTCTGGGGACTGAGGGAGAATCCATTCTATGCCTCTCTCGTAGCTTCTGCTGTTGCCAGGAGCCCTTGGCCTTCTTTGGCCTGTTGCTGTTCAAGTCTGATCTCTGCCCCCACCTTCACCTGGCTTTTTTCGCTGTGTGTCTCTGTGTCTCAAGTCTACCCCTCCTTTCTCTGATAAGGACATACAGATTAGGGTCCATCTTAAATTCAGAATGATTTTATTTTGAGATATTTTACGTTAATTACATCAGCAAAGATCCTATTTCCAATTAAGATCACATCCACAGGTATGGTGTGTGTGGGGCCTTAGGACTCAGACATATCTTTTTGGGGGACACAACTCAACCCACTATAGCAGGGTATTTGGGGGCCTCACAAGTCACACCCTTAGGTTACTTGAGATCACTGACCCCCTCCCTTCAAGTGCAGAGTCCTGTGTTATGTTTGACATCTCACCAATTTCCCTGGAAAGGCTTTATGGGGCTATCTTTACAGCTACAGAAAAAGGAAAATATTTGCAGCGGAGACTCATGTTTATTCATTGCTTAGCAAAGATACTTACCAAAAATCAAATCACAAGACAAAACTGTGGGTCTACCAATTCCCGGTCTTGCAAAAACTGAGCTGTATCCAAGGCAGGGAGGTGTTGCAAAGCAGGGGGTAGTGCCCAGAGGGCTCTCCAGGCACTTCCTTGCGATTTGTACCTCAGGACAAGGATAGCCCCTGAGTTATCTATCCTGAAGCGGCTTTGCTTACTTATTGGTCTGTTCTTAGTTACCCCAAGTCCTTTTGAAAGAGAGAAAGTTCTAACCTTCTCTTCCCTGGGAGTGGCCAAGGGCAGAGGTGTTGTCTTACCCTGACCTAGGTCCCAGAGGCACAGCTTCACTACTGCCTGCCTCCCTGGACACTTCTCTTGACTCATCTCCAACTTCAAACACCTGTAACTGAATTCTAAATATCTTTAATCATCTGGCTGCTTAAACCACCCCCACATAACTTCCCAGCCTGACTTCCGCCAAGCCAGCCACCCCCAGGGCCTCCTCCCCCCCATCCTGAGGCTTTCCTTATCTACACTGGACACATGACCTTCTTGTTCAGCCTTTTACACGAAGAAAGCAAGGCTTTCAGAGGTGACATAACTCGTTCCACGTCTCTGTACCCTGGGCAGTGGGCAGGGCCTCTGGCCTGCAATCAGTGGTTGTTTCATATCCCACAAGCTGACTGGTCCCTAATCTATGGAGCTGATTCCCAGGCTTTGGGACCTAGGAACTACTTTGGTGTGGGAACATCCTGGGAAAATCTCTTACTTGCACGGTTGACCCTGGAATTATTGGAGCACTGCCAAGGTGGGGAGCAGCATTTCATGCCTCAGGGCAGGACTTGTGCCCACGGTGGGGAGGGAAGCAGAGCATGAGGATGCTGGGAAAGCCCCCCAGGCTGCTGGCCAGCTGCTGTTTGCTAGGTATTGTGCTAAGCACTTTACCCAACTTACCAGCCCATTGTCCACATGAAGTGTGGCTCCAAGATAGTGATTTAGCACCTGAGAGGCTGAAGTGGGCTTCACAGGTAAGTCTGTCACCGGAGCCAGATTGGCTTAAACAGTACCACGGGGATGTTGTGGGTGTCTCATACAGGAGAGGGTGAAGACTGTGCCCTACTCTGCCCCCATTGCTTCATTTGTTCCCAAATAACACCGTGTGACACACCCCTGGGCTGTGCATGGACATCTGCAGAAGCCCTGAGAGCAGGCCCAGCCCCGAGGCTGCTGGGAGTGTATTCTCAGAACACCACGCAGCATTACTTTTTGAGGAACTGGTACCACAGCTTTACAGTGAGTAGGGAGGGCCCCTCCCACGGCTTTACAGTGAGTAGGGAGGGCCCCTCCCAAAGCTGGCCAAGCCTCAGAAGCACCGTTGGTACTCAGTACAGCTTTTCTGGCCCCGCTCCAGGAAAGCAGACATGGCTTGCTTTCCCAAGTCACTCTTCACAGCAGGCGAGGACTTTGCTGCATCTTACGCTAGCCCAGTGGGACGGGGTCACACTTGTCATCTGACTGGCAGTGGTGGAACAGAATTGAGTGGCAGCCAGTGATCACCAGAGGGAACGTGATGGAAGGGGGCGAGCAAGGTCTTTCTGACCAGAAAACTCTTGAGTTTGGATCCACTAATATTACTAGACCTAGTGCCACCCCCAGGCCTCGCAGGATTAAATCGAGAACCAAATCAAAGAAACTGAGTGGGAGCCTGGCCCTTCAGATTCTCAGCAAATGATGGCCTTTAATTAGAGGCCATGTCAGAGGTGGGCAGATGGGCCCAGGATCTAAGCCTTTCCACTCCCACAGTGGTTCTCAAGTCCACAGAACTACTGAGTGGTCATGATAGGATCTTAGCAGTGTTGCTGCCAAGTACCAGACAGCACTGTCCTTATCAGGGCTTCCTTAGGCAGAAGGAAGTGTTCTTCCTGATTCTGTCCTGAAGCGAGGCAGTGACATGGTCCCTGAGCACATGTCTGCCAGGCCCCAGCTGCCTTCCACAGGCCAGAAACAGGGCAGGATGCCGGGCAGGTGCTTCTCTGTCCACACCCTCTCCAGTGTTACCAAAGGAATGATAATTTGCTCCTGGACTCGATCCTTGACTCCGATGTTGTCAGGAAAGAGTTGATTTGAAAGCTAGTGGGAGAAAAATTCCTGTTCAAGTGCCACGCACAGAACATTGGCCCTGTGCCAGGAACTTCTCACATAACCTCATATAATGCTCATAATCTCATTTTATGCTCTACCCTCTGGGGAGGTGTGCCAGGTACCTGGAGCCAGGTCTGTTAGGACAAGAAACCTTGACTTTGACTTTATTTTAGGCTGTTTTTCCTTTGGTTCACTCCTGAAACAGCCAGTAACTGAAGAAAGATGATCCAGGTATGGTTACAGGTGAGTAGCCATGGCTCCCTTCTGCCTCCTGTGGTGCTCATAGATGCCTGTGAGGTGGAAGAAGAGGACTGTAGGCTTCCTGCCAGCCCTGAGTCACATCAGCGCCAGGAAAGACTATCTCCCTCATAAACGAAACTGCTATTTGGGAAGTCACCTCACTTGGGCCACATGTTGGGGTTTTGGACCTTGACCCTGTTGTTTTATTGGAGCAACCTTCCCGTCACCCTGGGCCAGGCTGGAAGAACCGCTGTTCTCAACAGCTGTTGACCCATACTCCCCAGTGGCACCCCACCACCTCCGGTCAAATTCTGTGCTTTACATTTGACATGGAAGGTACACCCACTACAGCCACACGGGTTGCCCTCCTTGCCGTTTCTCCCACTACAGCCACTGGTCATGCCTGAGAGCACCTGGGGGTGCAGGCCTCTGAACCAGAGAGATCTGCACTTGAATGCTGGGTCTTAGTTTATTCACTAGCTCAGTGACCTTGAGCAAGTCACTCTAACACTCAGACCTCACTGTTCTTCTGGGATGAGGCTGAACTATGTCTAAGACGGGGCATGGGCGTTAGAGAGAACTGACTCCTACCTGGCCACAGACAGCTTCCCCTTAATTCCTTTCATCCTCAATATCCTCACCTGCAAAATGGGAAAATTCTTATCTCCCTGCAGGACTGTGCAAGTGACTGAAGGGGAACATCTGGAAAGGAGGGTCTGACAGCTGAGCTGTCTCTTCTTCCTCCTTTTTACTTTTCCACAACCTACATCTTCCAGGGTTCAACTCTAGTCTCTCTCTGCAGCCTAACCCTTCGCCCTCCCCTCCCCCAGTCCTGATCTCCCTTCCCCTGCTCATTTCTGCCTGCCCAGCTGCCTGTGGCCAAGCTTCCATGGCCTCTGGGATGCCCACAGCAGGCGCACATTTCATCCCTTGCTCATTTGCTCTGAAACTGTGGGCTGGATGGACCTGAGACAAACCTCAAACACCTGTCAACCCTGCCTTCCTCGGAGCAGGAGGCAGCGATGCTCCTGAGAGGGAGCTTAAGTACCTGCAGACTGAAGTCTCTGCCAGCCTGTCTGATGTGAGTGGCTGGAATCAGGAGGGAGAAGTGGGAAAGGCCACTCCTATAGCCCTTCCCCTCTCCACTGGAGGTGAGCGCACTCCAGGCCTGTCCACCTGCCTCACAGTCCCAGCAGAGGACAGGGGTCAGAGCTCAAACACTTCCAGATGAGATCTTTAGAAAAAGGAAGTGATATTGATTGGAACACAGTAAATTATTTCAAGAAACCAGACGAAAGACTTAAAGTACCAAATGCAGTTTTAATTGATCTATAGATAAAAACTACTCAGCAAGGTGAGTAACCATTTCCACTCCTTAATCTGTTAGAGTGGTATCCTGGACAGTGTTCAGGAAGGGGTTAACGTCATTATTTCACTTCATCTGTGGAATTAGAAAAACAAGGCATGATTATCAGCTTAGATAACATGCATGGCTGGCAGCCAAACCCAGTCCCTATATGCCATATTTTTTCTTCAGTTCTTCTACTTTGTTGATGTAAGCTTTCATGGCGTCTTCCTTGGACGTTCCTGTAAGGAATCAACAGATTGTTTGTCAGAGAGGCAGCTTGGTAGGTGAGCAGCAGCCTCAGAGCCCCAGACAGCCTTGGTTTAATGTTCTGAGGCTCAGTTTCTCACCTACACCTCCGGCACCTGGTAGGGATCTTACTTGAAGAACTCGAGAAGCCTAGCTCACAGCACTGCTCCATAAAGCGCTGAACCAACATGTGTGTGGCTGTCCTGAGGCCTGCCAATGGCCTGCTGGTATTGCGTCCCCACTATTGTGAATGAGTGATTAGCCTCAGCCTCGGGAGAAAGGTAGGGCCCTCTAGACAGGCAGGAGAGCCCAACATGGGGAGCCACGGTGGCTTTACTGGTCCTGCTGACTTGCGACTGGCTTTGACCTATCAAGTATTCCTCTGTTGGGCTCTTAACTCCCAGAGCTGTTAAGGTGGCAGTGAAACAGCAAAGCCAGGCACCCCTTTCTCCCCAGAGAGAAGCTACGAAAAAAGTTTTGAGAACTCTGAGCAAAAGCAGCTGGCTCTTGGAGGGAATGAGACCAATTTTTTGCTTTCTTGCTGCTGTGTAAGAGACACTGACTTATATCCCTCAGAGACAGTAACATCTAGTTTCCTGAATTCCACAGTAAGGGAGAGATACCTGCTGGGAATCAGAGCACGTATGAAGCACTAGAGAGAGCCTGGGGCCCAACGATGGTATGGAAATGCCCAATGAAAATGGACAGTTGGATAGGCATTCCTGTTCCAGTTACTTGCAAATCCTAGGAGTGTTTTTATTGTATTCTGGCCCTTTTTGAATTCAAGTGTTTCTCTTTTGCAGGAAGACAGAGAGCTTATTCAGAAACTAGCTGCAAGAACAAAAAAGCTGGCAGGCACTTTAGTGCCAACTTTTAGGTCTTGCTGCTGCAGGTGGCACGTGATTAAGTCGGAGCTGGGACACTTCTTGGCTGCTGTTGCTTAGCATATAATAGCTCCATTCACTGAGCTTATGAGTGCCAGAAGCTTGCCATGCATTAGCTCATTCCTTTATTTTTTGTGCCTTTCTGGCTGGAAGGAAACTGGGGAGGGCTGCTTGGGCTATGGGGTCACTGCCTGGCCTTGTGGGGGAGAGGAGGTGTGGGCAGGAAACCAGCCCTTATTCTGAATATACATAAAGCTCTCGCCAACTATATCAACTTCCAATCTGTTTCTCAGTAGTCTGGTCCCTGTCCCTCCTCTCCAGATGATACCACTGCTTGGAGATGGTGCTTTTGGAAAAGACATTAATCGCATTAGGAGAAAAAGTAGGTGGCCCAGTTTTTTTCCATTCTGACACAGGTCAAGCTGGTTCCCAGCCTGTGCCTCACCCATTTTGTTTACTCTCCTCTCCCCCTGCACTCCATAATCAAGAGTATTTCATTACTGGGCGGCACAAATGAGGGAAAGGGATGAGAACAGTTACCTTTCAGCTCATTCCAGGCATCCCACTTGGCCTTGCCTTTGAGGTCCAACATCCCAGGCCGTTCTTCAATGAGAGAAGGAAAGACATTAGATCTGCTTCAAGTTCTAATGGAAAACTTCATCAACCTTCTTACCAAGAAAGCCAACTTTTATTACACCTATCCTTCTACACTCTGCTATGAAGTTAAATGGACCAAGAACAGTATACAGAAATCCAAACTTAAAATCTAGAGAAAATAAGAGGAAAACTGTTCTCATTAGTTGAACAGTTGTCTTCTAAGTTAAATAACTCCCAAACTTCTCCTTCTAAAATCTACTCTTAAAAACACACAACAAAAACAAAAACAAGCACTACTATATTCCATGCACATGGCTTAAAATCCAAATGCTCTAAAGGGGAATACTATAAAGTTCCCCTCCCACCCCATTTCTCTGTCTCATGCATTATTGTTTTCAGTTTTCTGTGTCCTTTTTTGTGAACTGTATGTTCATATCCTTGCCCCATTTTTCTACCAAATTGTTAGTCTATTTCTTGTTGATTTGTGGGAGATTTTCCTGAGGGCAAGATTTCTTTAAGCTGTACTATGATTTTATGCTTACAGACTTGTTATCAGTTGCACTTGGGGAACACACTCACTACTTCCCTGCTGACCTGTTCCCCTGCCATGCTGAGAACAAAGCCAAGGGGAGCAAACACAGTGCCCACAGCCTGGACCACTGTGCCAGAGGAACACATGTCTTCCTAAGTGCTTTCAGGGAAGCATTCCCAGGGATACCTGGGAGAAACTGCATTTGCAGTCATCAAACAAATCCTAGAATGGCACACCCCAACAGCCCTTTTGTGACGATGGAAATGCTGTACATTTGCACTGTCCAATTCAGGGGCTACTTGTTACTTGTGGAAACTGAGCTCCTGAATAGTGGCTTGTGCAACTGAAGACCAAAGTTTTGATTTTAGTTAATTTGAACTATTTTCAGTTTAAATTTAGATAACCACATGTGGCTAGTGGCTACTGTATTGGACGTGAAGCCCTAGAGTGTGCTGATACCTTCCTGATCGGAAAGTGATTGATTCCCAAGCCAGTCTACCTATTCTCATATGAACATGGGGCAGGGCCAGTCCCTGTGAAAATACTGCTTGGCAGAGGAGTAGCTCAGCCCCTCTGGTCACCCCCACTTCATCTCTCCTTCCCCTTCCCAGGAGGATACAGAGTTTATAAACCCAGCATAAAACTCATCTTCTCCATAAGACCTTTCTCAACTCAGCCCTCTGGGTGGACCCAAGTTTGATTTGGTATTGCACCACATCCTTACCTCTGGGCACTTCTGAATCCAGCTGGCTGGCAGCCAGCCCACCTGCTCTACCCATCAACTCAACTGCAGTGGAATTGGGGGCCATGCTCACCCTCCTGAACAGGGAGGGGAGGTGGTGACCTCCTTGTGTGGTGCCATGGCAACCACCTCTGAGTTCTTGCATGGACTAAATAGTGCTGTTGCGTCAGTATACACCTGAGTTTCAGGGACTTTGGGGGCAGAATGAAAACTGGTCAAGGCAGGAAAGGCAGTATTATAGAATGTGGTAGTTCAAACTATGGCCTCAAAATCTGCACCAAGATTTTTCAACAGGGTATGGTCACCAGGAAATGTTTTAGCAGCAATGTTTCTGACCTGCCCCTGGAAGCCAACTGCCTCTCTGCTCCTGATTTAGGCTTGGACCACTGCCAAGTGCTCTGAGCTTTGATCTTGCCCATCTAGGGTGGAAGCAGTGTGTTTCAACAAAGCTACTACTCAGCTGAGAGTTTGGAGCAAGTCCCTTCTAAACTGGGGGCCTCCACTTCCTCCCAAGTGAATGGGAAATGCTCTTGATAATCAGTAAAGTCTAAGATTTGAATTCTGCTACCTGAGCTACCAAGAACAGTGCAGGGTCTGTAAACCTGATTCAGGAACAGGATCGCTGGAGAACCTCTTCCAGCTTAAACCCCAGGAACGTCATGAAAAATTACCATGCCCCACCCAAAGAGTAGGACCTCGGGCGGTTTTTAGTGAGGTTCCCACAGAGTAAGAGTTCTGCTGAGTCAGCCTCGACGAACAGGGACCTGCCCAACCTCACCTCAGCATACCTGTATTTACGTCACCCACAGTTGCTTGTTTGTAGCGGCTGTAGATGAACAGCATCTCATCGTCTGCTGGCTTGGTCTTGAGGTGCTTAACCTCCTCAGCAGCTTTGTCAAACTCAGCCTAAATGCCAGGGAGAGGAGAGGGCTGAATATAGCTCAGTAATGGGAAGGGAGGAGTTGCAAAGGCAGCACTCCCTCAAGTCTCCCCTCTTCTCCACAACGGGGCAGCTAGAAAGATTCAGCAAAACAAAGAAGGGAGGCGCACAGGTTCACTTATTCGATCAACAACTATGTTAAGGGAGCTCGCTCTATGCCAGATGCCAGGTACTGGAAATACAGTGAAGGAGACAGGCTGCGCCTGCCTGCAGTGGGAGCGCACTCGGCAGGAAAAGCACCGTGGCCAACGGCCTGGCCACTGCCGAGTCGCGCTGGGGAACGGCTGGGGTCCCGGGGAAGCCCTGACCTGCGACAGGGGTAGCACAGGTGCCCGACGCAGCTCAGAAGGGGACAGGATATGAGTACGGCAGGGTCAGGGGCCTGAGTCCGTTGGCGCCCTTCCCTTGGGGTCGGGAACCTCTGTCCCAGTGCCGGACAGGAGAGCGAAGGGAGGAGCCAAAGGTCGCCCAGCACAGCTCGGCCTCGGAAGAGCGGCCACATTCAAGGGAGGGAAAGGCCTCCGGGTCACCTCTCCCCGGCGCACGCCGGACACGCGGCCCCTACTTCTCCTGACCTCCAGGCTCCCAGCCACCGCCCCCGGCTTCCCCATTCCGCACGGCGCCCTTACTCTCCCGGGCCTTCCGGGCAGGGGACTCGGTCCCCCCGCTCCTTCAATCCGTGCACCGTTCTACCTCGGACCCTGGCCTCTGACCCCTATCCCTGCTTCGCCGCGAAGTCCACTCGATGGGCAACTCCCCAGCGGTGGCGGGTGGACAGCGGCGCCGGGCGCCCCAAGTCGGGAAGTTGCGCTCACGAGGCGCTCGGTCCAGAGTCAGGGCTGGGCAGGGTCCAGGAGGAGGAGCGGGCCGGGGAGAGCGCCCTTTCAGGGTTCTGCCTGCGGGATGGTGCCCCCGCTCCCCGCCCCGCGGCACTTTCGCTGCCGGGCTCGCGTCCTACCTGAGACATGCCGGCGGGGTGAGCTGCAGCGACGGCGGGGAGCTGGCGGAGGCGGCGGAGCGGGGAGAAGCGGCGCCTGACTCGTCCGGCCGCGGCTTTAGGAGCTCAGTCGCGGGCGTCCCCAACTTGGCTCGTGCGAGCGAACGGCAGCCAATCGGAAGCCAGCTCTGCGCTAGGGTG